GCACCACAACCCTCACCCACTCCTGCCAGAGCAGCTCAAGTCACAGTATGATTTCAAGTCAAGGGAAGGGACACTGAGCAAACACACAACGGGACAGCCGAGCGCTGTGCATGGACCTCAGTCCCCTGGCTGCGGTTCACTCACAAGGAAGGTGTCACCAGCCCCATTTCTTCGGAGAAGGAAATTGAGGCTCAGAGGAGCTAAACGACTTGCCTGTCTAGCACGGTGAGTTTGTGTGACACCAGAGCCCAGGGTCCCCACCACGAGCTCGAGCTCTCGGCTGATATGCACCCTACAACTGTGCACTCGCACTGCTGGCTGACAGTCACAACCCCACTGCGACAGCCTCGCTTCCCAACCTAGGGACGCGTTTGACAAGTAGTAAGTTTCCCTCACAACCAAAAGCATTGTAGAGGAGTTAACAAAGCACATTTCCTGCAGTGCACTTGACCCTCACCTTAGTTCTATAACGAAGGATCGCGCTTCCGGTTTCACATGTAAGGAAACTGAGGCTCAGAGAGAGAGTGTGACTAAACAAGGGCAGAGTGGGGACTAGAAGGTGGAGGTGACTGTCACTGCAGGGACCTCACCCTGGTTGACAACCCTCGCTCGCACGCCGCTCCAGCCCACTCCGCTCCGTCTGCAGAGATGTCAGGAGGATGGGGAGGTGGGGCAGCTGGTACTGACAGGTGTCTCTAGAATGTTTCACTTTAGATCCTCCTTCTGTTCTCAGTTCCCCACCATCATCCCCAACCAGGTGGACAATGCCCAGAGGTCCTGCCCCCACCCACACAGACAAGACACTGGGCGGAGAGAACACCTAGGCTAAGACAGTCCTCAGCCATACGCATCAAGGGGGCCAGGGCCTCTGTGCCTGGGCTGGAGAGTGGGCCACACCCCCGCATGCAGGAGAGTCCCCTTGGCCTGGACCACCCACAGCCCTGCCCCCCTGCACCCCACTGGGACGAGTCTCCGCCAGCAGAGCTCCCCACTCAGTGTGGGGTGGTGGGACAGGGAACCTCACTCCAGCCCCCTGGGCCTTCGGCTGCTGTCTCCGGGCCCCTCGCTCTTCCTCCTCTGGGACAATCTCAGGGAGAGAAACGGCGTCAAGGGAGCCTGTGGCAGTTGCTACAGGAAACACATCCCTCTGTTAGCAACACCTCTTCAGTACAGGCCTAGAATTTTCCACAACACAACCAGGTTCATTGTTGTCAGAAGCAGCTCTTTGCTCTACACCCCCAACTTTACACCCTCCCAGCCGTGGCGTCACCCACGTCCTGCTGACACCCTGGAGGTCATCGATGCAGGGAGAAGGGACATGAGGGCCCTCCCTGAGCCCCACTTTCTCATCTTTAAAATGAGAACCAAAACAGATCGAGTGAGGCCCACGCAGGTGGTTAAAAAAAGGGCTTTGTGCCTGCGACATACTTCACTTTTGGGGGGAGAGTGTTTGAGTTTCTGGAAGCCTCATGAAGAAAGTAAGCATCCAGAGACATCCAAACCCCAGATGACAAGGAGTGTTCTTCTGGAAAACAATGATACTCCAACTCTCCCCCCGGCCCCAGCCATTCATTCTGCTAATCATCATAACCATTTGCTACAATCACAGGCTCCATGGCTTCCTGGGGAGGGAACTGTCAGATCATGGGGGCTCCATGGCAGGTGGCACTTTCTGTATCTCATAGTCTTGTTTCCAACACCTCTTCACCACACCTGACCTCGGGTCCTGAGAAAACGACATGAAGAGGACGCAAGACCATTTGCCCTGGGACCCAGGGGAGCCCAGGACTGGACAGGCAGCCCGGGTGGGAGGCAGATTAAACAAACCTTGTTTCTTCAACCTGATCCTCCCAAAGCAGCACCGCCCACACCCCTGTGGCAATGGTCGGCTCTATCCGGTATTCCCCTGCCTGCACCAGCTTAGCAGAAACGCCAAGCTCTCTCTTCAGGGAGGCGACGGACAGGTCCCACAGCTCAGGCAGAAATAAAGTCCACGGTGGGAGGCAGCATGGCAAGGGACAAACCCTGGCTGCCCAGTTGGTTTGAACCCAACTCTGCCACTAGCTAGCTCGTGACTCTCAGCAAATCACTTCCTCTTGGGGTCTTAGGAGTTTCATCTCCTAAACTGGGGTCATAACAGCTCCTTTCAGAGTTGTGGAAGGTGATCCAATGAGCTGAGTGAAGCACCCAGCTCTGCCTGGTCCACACCCCACAGCTATCTATTCTCAGCACAGTCTTGACCTTCAGTGCCCTGCAGTCAGGGCCTAGGCCAGCTCAGGAGCCAGCTCAAGGCCAGCTCAAGGCCAGTTCAGGCTTGCACATCAGAGGGACCCCCGTGGTGTTTCTCCACGGGGTGTTGCTGTATTTAGGGTAATTTCTCATTGTGTGGGGCCATCCCCACCCCATACCCCCACCCTACACCCTGCAAAGCACTTAACTCCTCTGACCTCTGCTCACTTAGAGACTGTCCCCAGCACCCTAGCATGGTGACTACCAAAAGTGCCCCATATAATACACCCCCTGGCAAGTAGCACCCCTGCAGAAGAAGCCTTCCCCCTGCCCAGGCTGAACCAGAAGTGGGTGCCTCCTCTTAGCCCATTCTCAGAGAGAAGTTTTATCAGGAGCCCGCCAAGGAAAGCTTCTTCTTGGCCTTGCCACGGGGGTGGGTCACACTCCGGCACGGCCCCAGACCCACACTGTCCTCATGGACCTCCCTGGCGAGAATCTCTGAAGCTACCAGCACCATAACATGAGTTCCCTCAGGAAAGTCTCTGACCCAGAAATCTTGCATAATTCACAGACTAGAAGGGGACGTGATTCCTAATGACAAAGTGTCGGGCACCTGAGAGAAGGAGAGCTCTGGGGACCACTGGGGTCTCATCGGCTGCTCCCCGCTGGAGGAGGGGCACTGTCCACCTCCACATCCCTGCTGGAACCGTGTGACAAGCTGGCAGCACAGGTGTGGGCCACAGATACCTGCATGTTCTCAAAGCAAGGCCTGGCCACCAGTGCACCACACTGATGATGCCGGAACATGAGTCCTCAACCTTGGAAGAAATACGTGTAATATACACGACACATAGCACTTGAAAGGTACACACACACACACACACAGAAGTACACATGTGTATATATGCATATGCTAATATATATTAAACATATAATTATGTGATTATTCTATAGTAATTCCATAATAGATAGCATAGTGATCCATATCTAGTAATTATATATTACATAATTAATATATTGATTACATGTATAATCTATTATCTCCATTAAGAGTACTTGTAAATTAATAAATGATAAACTTCCCCAGAGGAAAAACATACAGGCCAAGGACATAAAAAAAGCAATTTCACAGCAGAAGGAAATACATGTGACACTGAGATACTACCTCCCACCTCTCAAACCAGCAACTTCTTAAAAAAATTATAGTGTCTGAAACTCATGAGTGAGTGTCAGTAACTTGATGGATTGCTAGTGGAAGTGTGAACTGGTATTTCTAGAGGGTAGTCAAGCCATGTTTTAAAACCCCTAAAAATATACATACTCTGAGACCAAGCAAACGTACCTCTAGAAATCTACCCTGAAAAGGTATTCATGGATGTGCTCAAAGATTGTGTCTTTTCATTGTTTATTGAGGCAAAAATTAAAAGCAACCTAAATAGCCAACACTAGGCAACTGATGAAATATTCTATATATAGCAGAAACAAATCTAATTAGATAGTAAATAACAGATTACCGAACATTATGATTACATTTGGTTCAAAAAAATTAGACTTAATTTTGAATTTAGACTTAATTCTGGAAGTAATGTGTTCAGCCCATGCCTCAGAAATCTTGGGGTCACTTCATGAGAACGATCAAAAGTGGTCCAGAGGTGAGCGCCTCTCCTGGCTTGTTCTGGCCCCTGAAATTTCCTGCCTCACCTCCAAGCAGGTGCCACCCACCAGAAAGAAATTAACATGCCCTGCATTGTCAAAGGCTTGGGGGGAAAGTTCAGATGTAAAGCCTTGGTCACAACCAGGAGAAATGCCAGAGCCGTTTCCTGGTGCCTGGCTCTGCCCTGCTGTTCTCCAAACTCATTTTCCAGGCTCCCCAGCCTCCTGGAAAGTGAAGAAGCAAGGCTGGGCCGGTTGTTTCAATGCAGAGCACAGCATGGAGCCAGTAGTACAAGCATGGAGAAGTGCATCCTCCATCCTCCAGAGGGTCAGCCTGTGGTCCTGCTCCCTCTCACAGCCACAGTGCTGCCTCCAGCCCCCTCCGGTACCCCTTCCGGTAAAGGGTTTAGGAGGGAAAGAGAACAGGGAGCCACTGGGGGGGTCCAGAGGACAGAAGACAGCTTTTAGGAAAATATTTCACTAACGTGGTACATCCCTCCCTGACTGCATTCACTCTCATTTTCATTCTCTCTTTCAACTTTTGCAGAAACTATCATCCAGTCTCCTTCCGAATCCATGTCTAGGCGTCTGTCCCTCTGCATCTCTGTCACTGTCCACCATCTCTGCCGTTCCTCCATTAGCAAGTAGTCTCCGTCTTGGCATCTGTTTGTCTCTGTGCATCTGACCTGGAGTCTTGATGTTTCCGTGGACGTCTCTGTGTCTAGACATCTGTCCGTGTGTCTCTGTCTTTGTGTCTATCGTGTCCATGTCTTTCTGTCTCTGAGCTCCTCGCTATTCCCATCTCCATCTCTCTGCCTCCATCCCTGTCTCTGTCTCTCCTCTCCCGAGTTGAGTTACTAAAATCACAGCAAGGGGATCGAGCCCTCCAGAGAGGGGTGCTCCTGAAACAGCTTCTGCGGGGCGCCGGTCAGAGCGGGGGGAGGGGCGCCCAGGGACAGCAGACCCGGCCACACGCCCACTTCCCGGCTCGGTCGCTACTCCCCCGGCTCCGCCTGGCCCCTGGCCACCCCCTCCCTCGCTTAGAAAGCACCCTCCGGCCACACACCGCCACGGGAGAGGGTGCTTGCCCAGCCAGGGGCGACGGGGAAAGTTCTCACCGATGGTGAAGCTGTAACCATCGATGCTGAAAGTGGCGCTCCGGCACTTCTTGAAGCCCTCTTTCCTGCTGCTGGCGTCCGTCATGGCTCGGCCGGGGTGTCGCAGGTCCCCGGGTGGCGACGCACCGGCCCCACGCCCACTCCCCGCGCTCCGCTCCGGTCAGCACGGCGCCGTCCCCGCAGGTCCGCGCTGTCCCCGCGGGTCGGCCTCTGGCTGCCCGCGAGCGGAGTGCGCCGGCTGCTGGCGCGGGGACCGCACTGGGCTCACGACGGAGTCAGCAAGCAAGGCAACTGCCCCATCTCCAGCGCCGACGTCCAGGTCCCCGGCGGTGCCAGAGGGAGGTGCGCACACGTGCGTGCTCTGGGGGCCGGTGGGTGGGAGCGATTCCCCGGCTCCTCCACCCGCGTCCCCGGGGCCGCGGAGACCTGCGCTGCAGGCGCGTCTGCGCTCTCTCCCGGCGGCGCCTGCCCCTCTCTGGAGGCTGGTGGGGTTTGGGGACCCAAGGGAATGGCTCCGGTTTGCGTCGTGCTTCTAGATGTTTTCTCTGGCAGGCAGGAGAGCTCCCAAAAAGCACATCAACAGAGTTTGGAAAAGCAAACATCGAAGCCGGGCAGATGCTGCCAAAGTTTACTCCAAACAAGGAAGTCAGGAAAGTCCCCACGCCCACTTCCTCCCAGCAGCTGTCCCCAGAACCAGCCCGGAGCCCGGAGGAGATCCTGCTCACAGCCCCGGCTGGCCGGGGATAATCATCCAAGCCCAGTAGCCGGCATCGGCGGCCAAGCGCGTCTGTGCGCACAGGCTCCCCGCTGCGCGGTTCACGCCCCACTTCCAGCCCGTGTCAAACGCCCGCCCCAGCTCTTTCCCACTTGGGTTCGCCAGATATGAGACTCCTGGAACTGTGGAGGTGGGCGAGATTTTACCAACCCCCTAGCTAACAAAAGAGGAAACTGAGGCGAGAGAGGTTTGACTAAGGTCCCACCGCTAGAAAATGGCTGCGTTTGGACGCAGGTGTCTCATTTTATGACACCAATCATTGATTCTTCCAGGACCTTAAATGACTGTGTTAGGCGAGGTTTATGCAGGGGAAATCATCCCCTCCGACCTACGAGCAGTTACTACACATTTACAGTTGCACTGTGGCGCCGTGTTGGGGGCTGGGGGCTTGTGAAGAACCAGAGCCCAGCCAATCCCTTGGTGGAGCCCACAGTGTCACTGCAGTGCTAGCCGTGCGCAGGCTACTGCGGGACAATTAACTGAACCTCATATGTTGTGATGGAATTTGGCACAATTAACAAACACTTGTCAATATTAAGAGAGACAATTAGGTTTCTTCCTAACCGGTTCCAATTGAGTTTAATGAGCAGTGGGTCCAGAATCCAATAAAATTAGAAACCCTCTCCCAAAGACGGCACATGTGCACACATGTGCAGTATTATACATAAAATTTCAGGGGACCCATAAAACCCTGAAGCCCACTGCAACTCAGGTTAATGAATGTTTCTGGAATGGAATCTTCTTCAAATGACCATATATTTTTAGAGAAATAAGTATTGTTTAACGTCAGATGTCGTTGGAACTTTAGCTATAAATTCTCTCAGGGAAGATCTAGAACCACACTTATAGTGACAGTTTGCTTAGGTCAATGGCAAGATTAATTGACCCAAAGGCAGCCATGGCGCCTCTCAGCTTGGGAGTCAGGGGGTGCTCACTCCCCGAGGTGCTCCTTGAGACTGGAGATGGTTACAGCGAGGAAGCATGAATGGGGCTCTATGGACAGACAGACCTGAAATCTGACTCGCCACTTATCAGCTGGGTGACTTGAGCAAGGTGGCAGACATCCCTGAATCTTGCTTTCCTCGTGGCTCAGTGAGGATGGAGAGGAAATGTGAGGCACAGGCTGGCACTGGGCCTTTGGCTATTACAACCATCGGGTCACTCCCAACTTTGTTAGGTGAACACTGCGGGAAATTCTTCTCCATGACGATAATATAATTTAGTTATTGTTATCACCATTGATTTTATGAGAAAATTTCATATATAATATATTACATATCATATTACATATTTCAAGATAGTAGCCACCAAGACTTTCTTACAGTTCCCATTTCCCTGTATTTCTTCCGCTTCCCCAAACCTTCAACAGAAGCACGTGCCTCCGTGCAATGAGGCGCCCGAAAGCCCTGAGTTATAGTCCTTCTATAGTAAATCATCATGAAAGAAATACCCTAATGCAATGGAAATTCTGCCTTGAGTGAGTGAAACTAAAACTTGATATTTAATTGCTCTTAGCAGAAAAGCTTTTTGAAATATAATCTATAAAAATAATAATAACAATGTGATCCTTTCTCTGTCCCGTAAGGACTGGTAAAAATAACTTGCCTGAACAATTAGAACTGTTTTTAAACTGCTTCTCCCCCCAGAATCATCCTCTCTCTCCTGGTTTTCAAGATTGCACACCTACATAACCACTCAATGCATTGCTTCAAGTGCAAAGTCTTAAAGCAGCCTTCTCAGTGTGGGGCTCTTAAACCAAACCAAGTGAAGCTGAATGCTAGCGTTACGTAAGCTGAGAAAGAACGAGTTCAAGACTAAGGTCTGAAGTGGTGCTCGTGAAATAAGGAAAGCAAACCAAGACAGCCACCCTGGCCAGTTTGCTCAGCGGTTAGAGCATCAGCCCGCGGTCCAGAGCGGGTGGCAGCCAGTCAGTGTGTCTCTCTCACATCAATGTTTCTCTCTCTCTCTCTCTCTCTCTCTCTCTCTCTCTTCCCTCCTCTCTCCCTCCCGCTCTATCTGAAGATGAATGCAAAGGTGTCCTCGGGTGAGAATTAAAAAAATAAAAAATAAACCAAGACAGCCAGGCAGATGTGTGGACCCTGTGTTCATGTCGTCAGAACAGGGGTCAGCACACAAAAAGGGAATATGGTCTGTGGTACTAGGTCATCTAATGGAATATGGGAGGAGCTGACTTTCAGATACTGGGTGGAACGGTTGCGTCTTTGAGCTAAGAATGGGTTTCACGTTTTTAAGGGTTTGAAAAAATTCAAAAGAAGAACATGTCATGTGACATGTTGAAACTACAAAATTCAAGTGTCAGTGTCCACAAGGAAAGCTTTGTTGGAACATAGCTGTGCTCATTTATTTCCATATTGTCTGTGGCTGCTTTGAAACCAAAGAGCAGAGTTGGGTAGCTGGGCTGAGATGGGACGGCCTGCAAAGCCAAAATACTCACCACCTGACCCCGTACAGAAAATGTTTGCTGACTCCCAGATGATAGTAAATGTCTTACACCTGTCTGGACCTGGATAATGTCTGGTTTTATTAAATTTCCTTTAAAAGTAAGTTTGGAAAGGAATTTATCTTTTTTTAACTACTGGAATGGATTCTAACAAGTAAGGCACACTAACAAATGTTTGTTGGAGGAAGGAAAGAAACAATATATATAGTAATAGTTTCACCCAGTCATCACCCGGGATTAATTACATGGAGATTACTTTCTCCCAAAATGTAATATATGACCCTGGCTTCATCCCAAAAAATTAGAGTAGGAACTGAGCTCAGTGAAGTTTCTGAGCTGCAAGCTTGCTCCTTTGGCAATAATTGGTAGGATCCAGAGAGGGCTAACTGAGTATCTTTGCTGGAAATAGGAATTGTGACAGGTGATGGGAAAGTTCTAGTACATTCCACACTCGGTTCCACCCAGTATCTGAAAGTCAGGTCCTCCCATATTTCATTAGATGACCTAGTACCATAGACCATATTCCCTTTTTGTGTGTGACCCAGCATAAGGGAGTTTCTGTTGCTTGCAATCAAGAGTCTTAACTCATCCACCAAACATATGCCCTTCAAGGAGGGACATCGAGGGGGAAGAAATCAACAGAGAAAGAATAACTAAACTAGCATTATTAATGAGTACCAACCATGCGTTAGGCATTGTGCGGATGAAGAGACAGTTCCTGTCTTGGGGTCTATGGCAGAAGAGGAATCCCCAGAACAATCTGAGGAACTAGGGGTCCGAAAGAGAGAGAGTCTTGGAAAGCCTGTGTCTGCGGCTGCAATTCCTCGTCAGCTATCGCTAACGCTCTTCTCTGTTTCATTTTGCTTCTACCTTGTTGCTTTCTTTGTTTTTCATATTTATTAGGCCGAGGGGTGGCAGAAACCATCTACAAAAACAGGGAGAGTGAAAAGCCAGGTGCCCAGGCAGCTGAGGGTCCGAGAAGGCTGCCGGAAAGATGCCGGAGGTCCTGCTGGAGAACACAGAACTCTATTGCACAACGAGGCCAGTTTTCTTGGTGATGGGGATGGCCTCCTATCTATTCTTCCGCTTGTTGTTTCTAACTTTGCATGTTATTAGTGCATCTGTGAATGTGACTGTTTTTCAGCATCTACCTTCAGGGTCTCAAAAATATATTAACCAGACCAAATCCTTCCCCATATTATTAAGTAGCAAATTAGAGTCCATTACATTTCTTTTTTTTTTTTTTTTTTCACTCTCTCTAAAATAAAATCAATGAAAAAATATTCTTGGGTGAGGATTAACAACAACAACAAAAAAAAACGGAGAGAGAGAAAGAGCCTGGAGAAGATGGGAAATGGGTGAAAGTGTCCGGTAAGCATCCTGAGAGGACCCGGGAGCCAGAGAATCTGCAGGGACTACACATACTGCAGGGGAGGATTGAATGCCAACCAGTCTGAGAGAGGCCGTATGAGCTTGAGATCCCCGGGCACAGTGACAGTCTGTGGTGAGATCTCTCTGGGCTCAGAGAGCATTTCTCACCACTGGTCTAATCGTGCCTCTTGACCCAAGCCACCTCCACACACTTGATGATTAAAATAGTCTTGAGCAGCAGAAAAAGACAAATACCACATGATCTCACTTATATACGGAATATAATGAACATAACAGTCTGAGGAATACAGTAGACCCAGACACATGGAAGTAGGGCACAGACTGACATCCCTCAGAAGAGGGGATGGGGGGTGGGGGGGTGGGAAGAGATAAACCACAGAACTTAAATGCATGTATGCATGACCAATGGACATGGACAACTAAGCCGGGGACAGGGTGGGGGGGGGTGCCAATGGGG